TGCCTTGTTCTGGTGACAGTCGGCCCGGCTTGCGGCAGGCGCCCCCCGCCATCTATGCGCCCGGGGCGAACGACCCCCCCGCCCCCCCAGTTGTTACGCCACTGCATCAATGTAATTTTCCAAAAATTCAAATGTATCTAATTTTTTTTTCTTGATAAACCAAAGAATGGTTGTATACAAATAAGCAACATAAAGAAGGTGAAAACCATCAATTTCACAATATGAATACAAGCCTACAGGAAGCGCAGAGCCTTGGTATCTTTCTATCATGTTATCTAGTGGGTGGAAGATCTGATCTCCTGACAAAATGAAAATAATCAATCGTTTCTGCAGATGCAATAGCAGACCTTATATAAACTAAACTAATAGGAATGTAGTGGTACAAGTCTTTCCCCCCAAACTAATGTCAGTTTAACCTTTTTATCAGTTGTAAAAAAGTATAATAATTTAATAAGAACTGTGCTTGTTACAGACAAGGATGCTCGATGAAAGAATGAGGGAGGGCACCCACCTAACAGACGGGATGTTGTTAGCAGTGGTGAACTGGCTGCGGATCTCTCGTTGGGAGAGAAATTGGTTGAGATCTCCATTCTCCATATACTCCGTTATCATACACAAGGGGTCATCCCGGACGCAGACACCCAACAAGCGAATAATGTTTGGATGCTTCAACCTAGAGATGATCTTTATTTCTTTCAGAAAGTCTTTTCTGGAAGTTTGGAGAAAAGGGTGTTAATGAAATAGACATGTCTCAAACAGTTTTAAAGCAGAATTTAGGTTTTAAACGGTAACTAACAGTCAACTGAGGTTACTAGAGCAATTATAAACATTTCTGGGGAGTTTAGCTTGTTAAGACGTTTAAGGGGTTAAGTGTATGTGGGCATTCTATGATTGAACCCCACCTGTATCTAGCTGTGCTCAGTGTAGCTCAAACAGGACTCACATTGTCAGTTCAAATGCAGCTCTTAAGGTTCAGTGAACCGTACAAGGAGCATGGTCCTGCTTGGATGCAGGGCAAAGCATCTTAGAAAGAGATGTTGTATTCTAGTGCTTGTAATGCAATGCAGGCATCCTGACAGTATAAGCTTCACTGAATCCTGCAAGCAACGTGTGTGCTGGTTTTGCTAAAACAAGCAATGCTTGGCTGGCCTCAGGATGTACTACAACTCTAAAAAGTAACACTCATAAAAATGAATTCATCAACCACTAGCCAGGAAACCCTTTTAATGACCCTGGGTCGAGCAAAACAACCTTTAATATGATTATCACTGCTTTAACAAGCATTTCGACTGCACTATAGCTTCCCGTTCTAAAATAACGTTCTCAACATTACACTGCGAGAACTACTATACAGAGGACGATGCTTGGAACCAGGGTCACTTAATATGCCTTTTTTCATTATCCAAATCTAAGGCTGGCTGGTCTCTAGTTGGGGTTATGGTTAGTGACCATGTATGTGTTCCACTAATATGCATTTGTTTACTAATACGTTTTACCATCTCCTGAAAGATTCATTGTGATGTTTGACATAAAAGCAACAGTCTGCTTACTATGTGATAGCACAGACATTGGTGAATCTTATACCTAGCGGTTTTGGTAACATTGGCTCTCAGCATCTTCACGGCAACCGGAACGGGCTGATTGCTGCAGTCACTTGAGGACATTTCCAGAAAGTCTTGAAGCCCCTCGACCTCACACAGGTGGACCTGTGACAGGAAGGAGTAAAATATAGACACGAATTATTAAAACAATTTTATAATACAATGCAACCAATCAATCAGAAAGCAACATTCTTTACCTAAGAGTGGACAGACCGATAAAGGCTACTTGCTAGTGGCCTTGCACTGTGATATTAATATAACCAAGTTTAGTTAAGCTGGGTATACACGGTACTATTCTTTTCATTCAACATGCGGGCTGAATGAAAAAAATAGAACATATTCCTCCATTAATGCTTACGAGTGTTGATCGAAGAATCCCCTGCTGTTTCTATTGTATTCTGACAGCATCCACCGGCCTCTGTCAGAATACCCGAACGGAGATAGGAGCTGACTAATGCTCTGTTCCGCTGACAATTTTCCGACCTAATTTTATCAGCTGATTGAGGGATGCCCGGTGGAGTGGTGCTGACAGCGGCACCCACGCAGCAAAATCACCTCTGTGTACAGCCTACTTATCTTGACTAATTTCCCTCTGATTTATTTCCTTTCATCAAAATGTGAAGTCAATGTTTTTCCATCTGAAAATGGTTAGTTAGCTGCCATTTGAATCTTTCCTGTATAGAAATTGTTTAATAGTGACATCTGCAGGCTAAAAGGCGGTACTGCAGCCAATTAAAGAAACAAAACTATACAGTATAGACTGCCAATGCTGACCCCATTACTCTCTGAGTTACTGGTCTAGATAAGTATGGCTATTCATTGGCTTCATACTTGTTCCAGAGCCAGGGGATCAAATATATTGAAAGTGTATGTAAAACTTTATTTTCCTGTTTTTCACTGAGTGTGGAAGTGTTTGTTAGATTTTATTGCTGTCTCTGTCCCCACTGGGGAGATTTATCTTTACTATTGGTTCTGGTGAAAATTGTCTCCAGAAAGAATTATCTCCAGAAAAGAACTAGAGGGGGAATCTTCAAATGGGGACATCTGTTCTGGTGACAACTCTAAGAGGGGCTATGCACTCACTACTAGCAAAATCTCAACTTACTTCCTGCTGTGTTTCTGGGGCAGGAAGTGCAGAGAAATTTACCAGATGACAGGTTCCTAAATGCTGCAGAGTGGCATTATGTGGCTTCATGCGCTGCAGTATTCTCCTGTGAGTCGAGGGTGAGGGCAGAGCCTTTGTGCTTGGTATCATTCTACCTGGAAGAAGATTGCTGGATCAGTGCATCAGCACTGGACAGCACTGGAGATCGGGGGAATATAGCAGCCAGATCTGCTTTTTTATTTTCAGGAGCTGTGTGTGGATTCATTTATTTTTATCGTACCCAAGATAGAATTAGGCTTTAAACTAGAGGGTGACAGTCCGGCTTGCAGCATTTTCAGGAGATGGTCTCCAATGGCTGCCTAGGTGTTTGTTTTGTAACATGTATCCTTTATTTTTAAAATATAAACACACCCCTTTCCAAAGTGGATTACTGTGTTTCACCAGCAAATAGGAAAGATCACATAAGATCTGCACTAAAAGCTGTTGCATAATAAGCCAAGATTTTTTGGCATTTTGTACTTAGTAATTATATTTTTATGTCTTTAGTCTTACGTACATATAGCAAACAAGTTAATGATCTTGTCAAATCAGAATCTCTTGTATGGCCATGCCACTTATGGAAAATGTGTATTGGTCATAGACAGATAGCATATGGCTCACTGTTGGCTTTTGTTTGCATCAGATGGGGTTTGTCTCATATAAGTCTATAGAAATACAAAACCTGTTTGAAGCAGGTCAAATGCATCTGTCACCAGTCAAACATATGTCACACTGATGCCTTCAACACAAGCCTAAAGCCTGTTTTAAAAACATAACCCATAGCCTATTGGAGTGCTGATTTTGATATACACTGTGTGGCCAAATTATTATGACCACCCCATCAGTACTACGTTGGGCCACGAGATGACTCCACGAGATGACTTAGTTGGGCCGCCTCGTGACTCCACGAGATGTTGAAAGGTGATGCGAGGAATCTGACACTGCACTGTTGCCCTTCTGTTGTCTTGTACCAGTCTTGCCACTCTCCGTTCTGCCCTAACATTGACTAGTCGCTGACGGCCACAATTCGCACGTTCAGACCCAGATTTTCGGCTGACAGTCCAGTCTTTAAACACTTTAACAATAGCTGCTATTGAACATTTAACGAATTCTGCTGTTTTGCTGATACTCGCTCCATGGCTGAGAGCGCCAACAATCATCCCACGTTCAAAGGCTGTTAAATCGCGTTGTTTACCCATATCTTCAGAAAAAAATCACTTCTACTGTCGTGGTAAACAACCTGCTTCCCTATTTATAATGGCCTGACCCTCTAGCAACTTCAGCGCAAAATTATAGCCTACCAACGTCAGGTGTTCATAATAATCTGGCCACTCATGAACATATCATGAACATATTTATCCAGACAGACAGGTAGGAGGCACCATGTCCCTCCCATTCAAGAGTTCTTCATGGGCTCCCTGCCATTGGACACCCATGAAGTTCAATAAGCTTGCACTTGGCACATCTCTCCTTATGAATAATAATGAATAGAGGAGGGAGAGATAGAAAGTACACCTCCCAATGCATGCATCCTCATTGGCTGATAGTAAACAGGTGGGATTAACAACCATTGTTTTTTTAACATGAGAGGGTATAAATCCCAGCAATGTTTGGCAATCTCGTTTGTTTGACACATTGGTGTGCACTACAGCCTTTTTGTTTTTTCACTTTGTAAACTATTATTTTGTCACTCCAGGTGAAGCCCTGCATTCCCAAATCATGTGGAGTAGCAGGTCATGTTTGTGACTCTTGTTTGTTTTGCCTGGACATTTATTTGTTCAACCTACCTCTCCAAACTGACCCTCGCCAAGTTTCTCTTTCATCCGCAACTGGTTGCGTGGGAATTCGCCTACACTGATGTCCTTCTTAGTGAGCGAGTCCACGGTGAGGGCAGGCACAGCGTACATGGTGTTCCCTGTCACCCCCTGAAGATTGACAATATCCGTTTCTGCGTAGTGAGGGACGCTGTTCTGAAATCCCTGGTGCGGGGTGGACTTGGTCAGGTCTGGCTCAGCGTAGTCTCCGCTGCAGGCTGGGAACACATTTAGGATTTAGTTCATTGTAACAGGCTGATTTAACCAGGGAAATTGATGTCTATGGATAACCTAAGAGCTTAGGCAGCAAATGATTTATGAAAAAGCATACACTATCAACTGACAGTGATCATCAGCTGCTTGGCTCCCAGTTCCATCAATGTCACCCTAGATCTTATCATGATTTTACATTAGCGGATGAAGTTGCTGAAAGGGGCCACAAAAGACCCCTAGACATTAATGCCTGCCTGGGCTCTCACCTGAATCCTCAGCACTCTGTGATAGTTCGGGAAGCTTGCGCAGTGGTTTGGTGGGTTGCTGGTAGTCAAGATCCAGAGGGAATATCCTTTCATATGTTGGGTTGGACTGGTGGATTTGAGTCTGGTTGTTGCTGCCAATTGTGTAGCTATAGAAGGAAAGGCGAACAGTGGCGTCTTCTTCCAGAATCCGACGTGGAGCCTAGAAGGTCAAAGTATATCAGTTCTTCATATACAGAAGGACTCTTCCAGTATATTTAAAGAAGTATATGCTAATTTGATTTAAACATATTTTGAGGGACTTTCCATTGTGAAATAGTTGCTCAAAAACCTAGTGGATAAACTATGTGACACATTTATCAGCAGGGTAATAAACTGAAAGCTGTGGTCTGTTTTTTTTTACCTTTTCCAGCCGCTTCTGTATGTATTGCTTCCACAGGATTAAAACTATTATAACAATAAGTAGGAGAATTATGGCCACCAAACAGCCAATCAGAACGGATGTTTTAGGCTCATCAATTTTGACCACGGGTCGGCTGATGGTGAACGGGAAAGTGGTTTCTAGGAAACAGAACAATAAGACAAAAGAGAATGTTAATGATATATGGAAGGGCATGGGCCTTGAAGACCCAATTCATTACGATGTCTAACGCAACAAACAAAACAAAATGCAGCCAATAGGATGCCCACTGTCCTGCAATGAGTAATAATCCACTTAGTTTTGGTATGCGTGATGGAATCATACCTTCTGTTTTAAGAAGGTTCTACTGTAATAAGCTACATAGCAGTGGCGGAGCTAAGGAACAAAGGGCCCTGGTGCAAGATTTTTTTTTTGGGCCCCCCCTCCACCCCAAAAAAACCCACAAACACAGCGCACTCCTTCCGCAGCGCTCGGCCGGCTGTCACTTTCTCTCCTCCCCGCTGGGAGTCGGAGCAGCGTCCAGCGGGGAAAAAAGAAAATAGTAATTGTTCTTAAGTTTCTGGCTTATAGCCCAACTCTTTCATTGTTGGGTTCCTAGTGGGGAGATTTTCCCTTACTTTATGTCAGGACATGAATTGATGAGCAGTTCTTCCAATGGGGTCACAGGCAAAAACCTAATTTTAGTAGGGTGAGTAAAGGTTACCGTAAAAAAATGAACATGTTGCTCTCCAAACATTTTAGTACGCAAGTGCTTCAGTGATCAATGACAGATAGCACTGTCACAAAGGATAAGTAGTTCACCAGCTCATCATATGCTCTTTATTACCTTTTTTTTACTAGTCACATCCACTGTCGCCCAATGAAGGAGTTTGTGAAGGAGTTCTGAAACTCTTGCTAATAAAAGAAAAAAAAGAGCGTATGATGATCTGCATAACCAGGGGAAAGGGTAAAACTTCCAAAAAAGTGTTTTGCCTTCCTTGATAAAGAGTCAGGGATTAAAAAATGGGGGTCACATAGAATTTTAAAAATCCTAACAGAAATTTCCCCAAATGTATCCAAAACCTAAAAAGTAATGGGTACAATTAGGATTTAAAAATAGATAATTACTATAGTCTTCAGTGGGATATAGCTTTTTAAATATGAGTTGAGGGTCAATGATAGGCACATTATTGTCAAAGTCTATAGTCATTGAACTAAGAAGATCTTAATTTTTGCAATCAAGTGATGTAGGCCATAGCAGAGATATTATGGGGGATCATAGACACTTAAAGTGATATTAGCGAAACTTACAAATCCCTTGGGCCCACTGGACGTCCTCTGATTCACTCACTCACGTTCCCATTAATAAATATGTATACATTCCTTATCACCCCCACATGTCCGGGGGGTAGGATGACCCTGCACCAACCTATGTTTACCTCCATGGCGAGGAGGTTGTTATTTTACCCACTGTTCTATACTTACAATTTTCTCCCTGGAGATATAACATTGTTGCCAAGCAAGTTCACCTGATTGTATGTACAATTAATTGCTTTTATTACTAGTTGTGTGATTCTTTCTCTTATACCTCATTTGGTAAGAACCAATTTATGTAGACCTCCTGCTTTCCAGCTCCCTAGTCAACTCCTCCCATACTCGCCTCCAGGACTTCACTAGAGTCTCTCCCATCCTCTGGAACTCTTTACCACAACCTGTCCGTCTATCTCCCACCCTGACTGTCTTTAAGCGTTCCCTGATTTTTTTAATAGTCAAGGTACTTAAATGTATTTTTAAGATTTGATTTCTGAGTTTAGTGTCACTTTAATTAGTAAAGCTCATAGTTAGGCTTTTGATTATTGAAGGCTACAGGCATCAGATTGCTGAAGGTCTTTACTAAACATGTGACTGTTGGAGGTCATAGATAGAGATTTTATTGACAAAATCACTTGAGATATAAAGGTCATCGCAAAGATACTATTGAAATATACACTTAGCCACATAGTCAGTCTTTTGATTGTTGAAGGCCACTAATCAAATTGCTAAAAATTCTTTTGTTAACACTTGAGCATTTAATGTCATATTTTGGAAAGTAATTTTACTAGGGGAGGCCACAGTAAGGCATTTGAAACACACAGATAAGGAATGAGCGTAATGGAGAGGTTTTATCGCCCCAAAATTTTAGTGACAATTCATAGATTTTTGCAGATCATTGAGGAAGGCAACATCAAGGGTTTTTAGTGGTTTTAAGTGGCATCTGAGGTATATGGAAGCTCATTTCAACTCTATTGGACACGTTCTTGCGCCAAAAAATTGTCCTTTTTTAGGCTCATTATTTCATTGTCTTTTTACAGACCTTAAAAAACAGCGTAAAAATAAGTAACGTAGAAGATTTAAAGTGACAGTTGACAAATAATAATAAAAGCCCCCAAAACACTAAATCAAATTAACAACACTAAATGCATCCAACCCCCCAAAAAAATATTACATTTTTTTTTTCAAGGAGATTTCACTTAAGCAACGCAACAACAAATGAAAGTGTTTCCACTGATCTATAAAGAAGTTCATACATAGGCGAATAGTGGAGTGTTTTACACTCACCCAAATTTCTCTCAGTAGTATTGAGGAACGGGGTTTCAGTGGTGGCTGCCTGGACAGTAGTAGGAGCCAGAGTGACACTGGTGGGCATTGCAATGTCCATATCTGTGGAAGAGTAAGATGATCAGCAACAAAATTACAAGACTGTACAAGACTGGGGGATATTTTTTATTAGCTGCTTTTCTGAAATGTTTTGTGTTTTGATTCAACATCAGCAATGCGTTACCTGACTGGAAGGAGATTTCACTGAACATTATCCACGTGTCAGCGAAGTAAAACCTACAAAGGATGAAGCTCCCCACTCGTTGCTGTAACGGGATTATGACGAACCGTGAACTTGGGTTCTTGTCATCCAGCACTGTCACCACCCCCACTGAATCTGGCCCCCAGTCAGACTGTTGGCGTGACTTAAAGAGGCACTCCGCCCTCTGGAAGATCTTCACCCCTTTACTGAACATGTTGTTACAGTGGACCTGGGAAAACAGGATATGCCATCACTCATGTTTGGCTTTATGGCTATAGCAAGTTGATTTCACCAAAATGATAATAATAATTAAAAAAAGATATTAAGAAAGGATGTTAATGTATTTGTTCTTATATTTAATTTGCATTTCATTTAGTTTTTAAAGCATGGCTAAGCCTAATTCCAAACGTTTTATTTTGCAGCTTACCAGTCCTTCAAATTGTTGACTGTGTTAGTTTTCTTTTTTAGTCTTTTTTCCTTTATTTCTACATGGAGAGCCTCCTAGTAACATACGTACTTACTGTCCTAGGATGACAGCGTGCACTCAGTGTATCTATAGAGGAGCAGTGTTATCACACTAGGACAGGGCTAGAGAACACCCCCTTTTCCCTTCTCCATAACTTTAGTGGAAGATGTCTGTGAAGGTTCTCATTCATCCAGGTCTTATTTTTTTTACAAATATTTAGGGGAAAATGCTCTGTAGTTCTCAGAGATAGCTGGGGATAATACTAACTGATAACATCCAGCAGAGGCAGAGAGCACAGGATGTTACCCGCTCACAAGATTTCTGGCAGGGTCAACAGTGATTTTTTTATTTTACTAAACAGATATAACAAAACACTTTCAATAGAATATTTAATAGAACAAAAGAGAGCCATATACATCTTGAATACTCTTGCCTTCATTTCTGTCTACCTGGGAATTTGAATGTTCTCTTACACATTTGTGTATTTATGCTCCTCCTGATACATTCCCTATGATAAAAAGTAAAAATCCAGTGGGGAGAGTGGGAACCCCTCATATGGTAACAGTAGAAGGGCAGACTTGGGAACTCAGAGAAGATGCAGAGATCTCACAAATAGGGTTCCAGAGAGATAGAAGAGCTGCCAGGTGGTGTAATTGTCCATTATCTACCAAACCCTGAAATAATCGTTTTTGGGACTAACCCTTTTTAAATTAGACAACTTGCCTAGGCATTCACTACTTTTTGATTTTGCAGGCATTATGTAAATATTGTTTAGAACAATGAATTAGATACTTACCTTAATTCTCATATTCAGAACAGTGAGAATGGAAGCAAAAAAAGAAATAAATGGCTGATGTGAACAATATAATACTAATTTCAGACATACTGCATAAACAAGACCACTGCAAGAAAGGTAGGTAGGTCATATATGTAGGCAGATGTTTTACCTTCATGGAAGTGAAGTTTCTCGGCCTATCAAACTGGAACTCTATTTCCACATATCCGTTGCGCGTACTTTCATTTTTCCAGCCAACGTAATCATAGCCTGGCCAGACCCGATATTGGTGGCTCTGTGTGAAGTCGTCCAACCCCAGCACACCATCCGTCAGCTGTCCTAAACCGTCAAAAAGCCGCCTGCGTTTCAAACATATGAGATTTTTGAGGAAGGGTTGTCAATATTTTTTCTGGTAGTGATGACAGGCAATAGGGCATATTAGTAATACGGAAAAAAATAGCCTTGGCCAATCAGGAATGTGCGTTCATTCTCTATCCTTCGGTAGAAAAATGGCACTAAGATCTGATGATCATCACAGTTTCTGTTTTTGAAGCGGACCTCTCGCTGTAAAATATCTTGTTCATTAGTTAGTTTGGTGTGAGAACTGATGTTTGATGAATGTTATTTGACAATAATGTCTATGTACACAGCTACCTCTTAACACAGAACTAGTTGGGCTGACTTTTGGTTGAGAGTCTGGTCTACGGACATCCTCCCAAGAAGACAACAAGCCAACTTTTTCTATGGAAAGAGGAAGGTCTGAAAAGAACCATGTTTGGCAAATAACATGTAGCCAAAAAGTTTACAAAAATGAACTTAGAGTAATGAATACGTTTTTTTCAAAAGTGTCAACTCTCCTTTCAGTCATGTCATGAATCTCTTTTCAACCCTAACTCCAAGCAAATTCTTTTTTTTAGGGTTTTAAAAAATAATTTCTGCCAGGATTTCAGGCAGGGACCCTGTTTTGGAAGATTTTCACTGACTTCCTGTCCCTGTGACACCAGTCGAAGGAATGGGCAGTGTTGTTACTGGGACGCAGACAGTGCCAGAAGATCTAATCTTGTCCAATTTTACCGAAACAAATGTTTTATTTGTTTGTTTCCCAATTTCCTATTACTTAATCCTTGGACAGGAAGTGAGGGGGTACAAGCCCTGTAGAGTCAAAGACAGCAATAAAATCCTGCCACAGGCTGTAGCTCCTTACTGCTTTATCCCCCCAAACAAACAAAAAAACCACAAGCAGTGGTTGGAACTAGGCTTTAAATCTCAATTTTGTGAATGGGTTGTCATACCTCTTCTCCAGGTATCCATCATAGGTGGAGTCATTTAGATATGCTACTGGATGCCCTGGAGCCATATAGGTCTCTCCTTCTGGAATACTGTAGGACTTCAGACCATCTAGAACAACAGAAATTTATATTAGAAAATCTGAGCACAAGCTTTTAATTGGGGGAGATGTCCCTGTTACTGGTGTAACTGTGCATCACTGGTGTTCTCTTTGAATATGCCAGGGTACATACAGCTGCAGTCTATACACAGTGAGCAGGCCATTCTTGTGTGGGATACAGAGAACAATCAATTTTCCAGCATGATAGAAAACCACTAATGTTAATGATAATGTTTATGACAACAGTTTTTTCCTGATCTGCCCTCTGTTCATTTCTGCCCTTCTTTATTAGCAAATGGCAACTGTTATGCTAAAAGACATCTTGTATATTGCTATTCTTTTCTTCTACTGTAGCTTAATCAGTCTATACAGGTACAAGATGGTGTTATAAATTAAGAAAGCTGGGAAAAGTGGTTTTTGCAGCAGCTGTTTTGCTAAAAAGAGAGACAAATTATTTAGAGGAAACATCCCCCTCCCCCCCCACACACACTACCTTCTCCTATGGCAATACAAATTACAGCATCTCAATTTGTGCACTGACCCAATTTGCCAGAAAAGATGCAAGTAGTGCTGGACCTTCTTAAAAGTGCTGGGCTTTCTTTTATTTATAAGGAATAACATATACTGTACATCTAGTAATTGTTTTATGAAATATTTTATAACATTTAAAAAAATACTGTATTCAAAGCATAATTTTTTACATTTTAAACTTTAAAAAAAAGTTTAAATAATAATTATCAAAACCACTATAGTTATAATTTGTATCTAGTACAGTTGAGCCTGCTTACCATACCAGCCGCAGCCGTATAACTCTACCCTCATACACACGGTCATGGGGACCTCGGTGACAGGGATGACTCGGATGTGACTGGCAATAATTGGGGGTCTCAGGTCATTCAGGACCACTTCATACTCATCAACATTGCCTTTGATTATCTGAAAATGTATATCAAAACAGAAAATTAAATCTATCTGTCTATATCTGATCTATGCATCTATCTTTCTATCTATCTATCTATCTATCTATCTATCTATCTATCTATCTATCTATTATAATGTTTATTGACAGTCACTCGTATTTTATTTCATTTTACCTCACATCACATGGCATCTTCTCTCTATTAAGGTACTTTGTGTAAAATAAATAAACCTTTTCATTGGGAAACTCAGTTAGCTGGTTACTCACAAACAAGCAAGGTCATCATTCACTTTGGCTGGATGAGACATATCAGAAGCTATGTCAAGGATATGTGACAGATCAGTCACCACAACGCTGACGATTCAGGGCCTTTCTGCGGTTATAGAAATCGCACAAGATGTCGTAGTTTGGATGATGTTATTTTTGAAAAGCTGTGCACAGTGTTTGTTTCTTATTTAACCTACGTGGACGAGGAACGGTCAAAGCTGTCCGTGACAGAGGAATGAGGTGTACCCTTTGAGAAGAAGACACTGTACCTACATTGGCATACCAGAAATGTAATGGGTCTTGCTTAGCTATTCTATATTGTTGAGAATACGATGACCATGCATGTTGTGGTTTGAATGGCCAGATGGGAAGCTGGCTTTGCCGGCTGTGTCTTCAGGGTTTACAAGTCACCTAAGATCCAATGTTAGCATTGCAGTTGAGTTGGCTAAACCCTAGATCAGTCAGAATTAAGTGAAGGTGAATACAGTAGACATAGTTGAACCTTAAGCCTTAACAGGCATTCTTTACCAGTCATGGCCTTTGAGTTGGCAACCATATAGGCTCAAGGGGTAGTTAGGAAGATCCCCTTGGATATATTTGCTTCTTTGGGCAATTTTTCCTGCATAGTATGACATAAAAAGGGATGATGGAAGTTGACAAAGAGGTCCCAAGTTTGCTTGGGTAATTAGCAAATTGCTTGACTGGGTTAGGTGCTTAATTCCTAATGTACAACATCTTTCAGTAGCTGCCCAGATATTTGACTTTGCTCAGATATTAAGATATATCCCATCAAACACATTCTGTTCAGTGGTCAATGGTTCTGTGATGATCTGTTTGCCAACAGGGAACATAATACTGTGGTCTAAGAACTCTGGTCTTGCTAAAGCAATCATTAAGGGGTGTAATGCTCTCAGTAATCTTGTAATCTAATGTTCTTCGATCACAATCCTCTATGTCATACTCCAAAGATACAGTATATTGCTATAGATGGCCATGTGATACATATGGGTTTAAACCTAAGAACAAAAATCAAATGTATTGCAGCTTTCCATTCCTTATATGTTGAAGATGAATTTTCAACTAGTGATTCTGCCAATACCATGATTCCTGTTCTAGGGCCAAAATGTTACCTCACGGCACTGTATCTTTGGAGAAACAGCATTATCACCCTAAGAAATTAATACAGAAACGTATGCCTTTTCTCTTCCCCAGAACATAGCTAGGAAAATGTCTGAAGTCCTCAAAATTTGATGGGGAACAATGTTACTATTAAGGTAAAAAGAGCAAAGGGATCCATGGTGTCCAATCTCCCATCAGCTCCATTTTAACAATATACAATGTACATTACAAAATGGTAGTTTGGGCAGGTTTTGCATTGATCAAAGATGACAGAGGTTACAATTAATTAAAGAATATGATCTTCCTGCCTGTACGACTACTAGACTTCTCACCTGCTGGCCTTGGTGGTCCTTCCACGAAAGCCACCTTTCTCCATTCCGGCTGTAGTCCACACGGTAGAATCTTGCAAACTCTTTACCGGTGGCTCGAGCATGACGTCCTTGAGTTCCAATCAGTGTAATGAAATAGAGTTTGTGTAGATGTATCTGTAAGAACTGGACATCTTTTGGCTGAAGCAAACCCGCAGGGCACCAAGCCCCATCACCTTCCTCCCGCTGAAGCCTGCAGAAGAGACACGGGATATAAGTTTACTGGAGCCCTAGAGTTAATGTTACTGTATTCCTTTCTTTCATATAGTATACCTTCTTAACGGAGAACTATGGGGTTAAAGCTTTTCCCCATAGTTCTCCTTAGGGTAACGGGAGAACACAAACTAGCATCCTCCCGTCACCCTAGGCTCAGTATACCACGACCTGTAGCTCGCGGTATACTGAGACGCCGCAGCTGAAGCAGATCCCGACAATTGTGCCGGGATCCGCCCAGCTGCGTGACTGACAGCTGGCTCTGCCTATCTAGAGGCAGAGCCAGCTGTACCCGCACCCTCCCCCATCTGTTCCGCCAGTCAGCGCTGGTGGATCGGAGCGGGGAGGGGGGAATCCAGCCCCTCCCCTGTCATGGCAGAGAGGCGTGACAGGATCGAGAGGTGAGCGAACGCCGGTATGTGTTCACTCACTTCCCGATCTACTGAGCCGACCTGTGACAGTCTCATTGTCACAGGTCGGCTAGAACTATGAGGTGAGTGAAAAGCACTCACCTCATAGTTCTCCTTTAAGGATTTTATAGCCATGGTGCAAATGAGAACAATGCAAAGAAATGACATTTTTTATTAGAGAGCAGTGACACAGCTGACAATGCAGCCTATCCATTCACTAGAGACCGGTGACATCACTGAGAATGCAGCCTATCCATTCACTAGAGACTGGTGACCATCACTGAGAATGCAGCTTATCCATTCTCTAGAGACCAGTGACATCACTGAGAATGCAGCCTATCCATTCACTAGAGACTGGTGACCATCACTGAGAATGCAGCTTATCCATTCTCTAGAGACCAGTGACATCACTGAGAATGCAGCCTATCCATTCACTAGATACTGGTGACCATCACTGAGAATGCAGCCTACCCATTCACTAGAGACCAGTGACATCGCTGAGCATGCAGCCTATCCATTCACTAGAGATCAGTGACATCACTGTAATTTAATTGTAATTTAACTGTAATTTAATTTCAACATTCATTACAACTAAATATTATATATTATATTGCTGGAGTAAAGAACATTGCTAGGTTAATTTACAAAGGAAGGAAATAATGTGAATAGCCGTGTTTGTAGAGTAAACATAGCATTTGTTGTTTAGCACTGTACACAAAGTCCAGAGACTCAGATTTGTGTGATTTAAAATCTGACTTTTCTTCTCCAGGGAACAGTAACATCCAGAAACTACAAGGAAACATTTCACATTTACTGCTAAAGTCCATTGACATCATTCTTCCAAACTGACGTCCTATTCTTTTTCAAGGATAAAGTTACTTATTACATTGTGTAAGTGTCAGACGGACAAGTGCAGTGGAAACTGAAGTGGAATTAAATAATGGTTACAGTCTGAGACAACCTTGTTTTCACACTTGCCATCTTTTTCGGAGCGAACGAATAGTGGTCAGTTATGGAAACATTTGTAACATGTTCTATAAGGCTACAGGTTGACTTCGTTCTGGGAATGTTCTAACTCTGTGACTGGCTACTTTTGGGTGCAGTTTTACTATAGGCTTAGCGGAGGAATGGCGAATGGCTCCATTCTCCACTTTTAGGCCTTGTCTAGATTGGCAGCAGGCTCCACTGCCCTTGAAAAAGCAATCCGTGGTGGATCACTTTTCACCAGGTAATTGAGCAGTGGCAGCCCAGCGTTCATGAGGCAATATTGCTGCCTCCTGAATGCAATTTTTTCGTGATTCTTTAAGTGACACTCAACTCAGGAGTTAAAGCTTAAAAATGAATTCATGTTCCTTAACTATGAACAAAAATGTATCTTATTTGTGTATCACTCGGCTGTAGATCCTCAAATCATCTCTGAATTCATGCTGACACTTCATGCTGTTCTTCCTTCTGGAGGGTGGCTACTTTTGTTCCCCATGGTCCCTGCGTGTGTTGTAAAGTAGCCACCGCTCCAATCCTGTTCTCATGATGGACTATAATCTCAATACAAATTATTAAACTAAACTTGAGATTGTTGTGCCGCCCCACGATCGGAACAAGGATTTATCTTGGACTGTCATTTCACCAAGTGGACAAGGCCTGACAGCAGTACTACAAGCTTAGTCCATGCTACACACTGCTATCGCACTAAGTCCACATATGCTTACTGTCAGGACTGGCACATATGCCAAAACCATCTTTCTGCAAAGGACATTGCTCAAAGTGAGTTGATTCCACTACAAATGGCAGAACAAAGCATCTCTAGCATAGCAATGAGATGTATTCTTGACAAGCAAGGCATTGCTAGAAACAATCCAACTGCCAAGCTGAATCCATTCATCAAACACCTCTTTTGAATGAATCGGTATTGACGAGTTCAGCTATCTGACGAGGATTGTCCGCAGTGAGTATATCTGCTTATACAGGCCAGGCATAGAGGTCTCAGCAAGGGATATATTTCGCTATCACAATGATCGGAGTCAGAATAATTGTAGTCCATCATGGGAGTGAGCTTGGAGCACTGAATACTTTACAACACACGTGTTGAATGTAAATTAATTTTTAAGATTTAACTCCAGAGTTTATTGACACTTTAAAGGGGATTGTGGCCCGGTCCCATTCACCTCTTTTATCGCGTTTGGCAGCCTGGACACATAGACAAACTACAATCTGCTGAACCAGCTCCTAAGAATTGTGTTCTTTTACCATAGTAATACTCTGATATTATGGTGTTATATACAGTAACTATGTGTGATGGGGTCCCATAGTAAAACCATTAAAGAGAAATTGTCACTTTAGGTCAGGGGGATCTAATGAGAGATGCTGGGACCATGGAGATAAGTGCCAGTTCGAGAGAGTTATTAATTATTTGACAAGGTCTTTTTAAGGGCCTCCTGTCTCTGTAATCTGCATCTCAAAGGCAATGCCTTCAGTCGTACAATATACAAATTGTTTTCATAGCAATCAAAGAGAAGTTCCCAAACTTTACATACATTTATTTCATCTAAATGGATTTAAAATGTTATTGCTATCTATTGTAAGGAGAACAGGCTCAAATAGTAGTAGCAGCAGTAACCCATGCATGAGACAAGGACATCCAGGAACAGTCCAAACAGGTTTGTCCTCCACTTATATTCAGAAAGGCAGCAAACAAACATGGTTAAATGCAGGATGGCGTTCTATAGGAAGTCCATACCATAAAACAAACAAAACATCTGCACATTTTAGCCACTGACTAAATTTATATCAGTTCCTGACTAACAGGGTGCCCTCTAATGGGTTCCAAAACAAACAAACAGTGCATGTACCTTTTTCCATGTTCTGTCAGCACTCAGTCCTTTCACGCAGCAGAGAGAGAGAGATAGAGAAACAGAGCCCCGAGCATCAGTCATCTCACAAATAAAAAGACCTGTGGACAGCTAAATAATGAGGTCTGGCTAACTGGTATGATGTGAACCTAGGAAATGAGGCTTTATCCCACCCAAAGCTCTACAAATGCTTCAGACTCCAGAACAGGACTTACTAAAGTGATATTAAAGTCAAAAGGTTTTTAAGCTCTTTCAAATGTTGACTTACTTACAATAGATGATGCAATAGAAGTTTTAGTTTTCTACTGGATTAGCTGACCCCCTGAGTACTGGCCCTGGTATCTTGTTTTAGGGTTGCTACTTTTCCTTGCAGGGTCCTACTGAGCCACCTTTGTGTGTGCTAGTAAGCTGCGTTTGCCTCCACAAACACACAGACACAGCAAGGCAAACCATTCTCATGTTCCCTATCCCCAACCCTGCCTCCTCCCTTGTCCAAGCTATTATATGGACTGCTTTGTCCCTTGTGATCCTGTAATGGACAAGAAGTTCAGGGATGCCAGCTGTTTGGAATCATGGTGACTATAAGTGCATGGTGACTATAAGTGCTTGGGCAAAAATGTAAATAAATACTATGGTGGTCGATGTATATTTTTTGATCTGTGTTCATTATTGAAAAAAGTTTGAGTGTTTAATACTACATTAAAGGAGAATTATGAGGTGAGTGATTTTCACTCAGCCTCATAATCTGAGCCGACCTGTGACAATGAGACTGTCACAGGTCGGCTCAGTAGATCGGGAAGTGAGCGAACACATAGCGGCGCTCGCTCACTTCTCGATCCTGTGCCGGCAGAGAGCCGTAACAGTGGAGTGACTGTATTCCCCCCTCCCCTGTCCGATCCTCCAGCGCTGACTGGTGTACCGGACGGGGGAGGGGGCGGGTACAGCTGGCTCTGCCTCTAGATAGGCAAAGCCGGCTGTCACTCACGCAGCTGGGTGGATCCAGACATAATTGTCGGGATCCGTTCCGGCTGCAGCGTCTCAGTATACCGCGAGCTACAGCTCGCGGTATACTGAGCTTTGGGTGACGGGAGGACGCTAGTTTGTGTCCTCCTGTTACCGTTATGAGAACTATGGGGAAAAGCCTTAACCCCATAGTTCTGCTTTAAGATTCTGAGAAAAACAACAAAGATTACAAACTCAAAACCTGGAGCCCCTCATCATGTGTATGTAAGAACCCTAGGTGATATCCAGGACAGGAAGTGATGGGAAATCTCAAGGACAGAGACATCAATATATTATATGTTTTTGTTTTGTTTTTCAAGCGCCTTTTGACTGAGGATTGATCAACAGTGTTAATACTGCATTTCTAAAACAAACAAGACTCCAACATTCACTGCAATCATATATATATATACATGTATCTACATATAGCACTGTTTAAAGCAGAACACGTACCTTGCACAATGTGGCCCCGTTGACTCATACCACTGACTAGAAGCAGTGATATCCTCATCACGTATTGTCCTTTCATGCATCCCTAGCGCATAGCGACATATAGCTGAAGACACATGAAAATAAGACCTATCGTTAGTATATGTTGTTATATACAGTACAGGTATATGCATAACTGTGGCACAATTCAAATCACAAGAGTGGAGCTCTCTTCCTCAGGACCCACATTTGTCCTTTGTCATTAAGTTATGACTCAAGTCGCACTGTAATGGAAAGAACGCCATTGCGGTACTGCACTTTCTGGTGCAGGCAATTGAACTGTGGGTGGGAGGTGCGCTTGGGGTGCCATTCAAAGGAAACGTGATTTTTTTATTCTGGTCCAGGCACCTCTACAGAACATGCAAGGAAGCTGTAAGCAATGCACCAATTGATGGAACTCCCTCGTGGCCATAGATCCAGCCCCCCCCCCCCCTTAAGCTGATACTCTGCGCCGAGCAGCATGGCTGCTTGGTGCGAGAACCGACAGTGCTGTGCTAGGGGGAGGCAGAGGAGCCTCTCACCTAGAAAAGTTTAAGACATGTGGCAACCCACTGAACACAGGGTCGCAACCCACTTTTGGGTCACGACCCACCAGTTGAGAACCAAGGGTTTAGAGCAACTTTGATTTTCTGACTTGCACTAAACATACTTAGCTGGAACGTTATTGGTTATGATGGTCAACACAAACAGCTTTCATTTCTTACTATTGCTCTAGTGTTGGGGAGCACAACATACATACATTTGACCACTTTCTGTTTAACCTCCCTGGCGATCTGATTATCTCAGTATTTTCTTTCTTTCTTTCTTTTTTCTATTTTTTTTCTTTCTATTTTTTACTTTAGAATTTCCCGCCGGTTCCGAAGGAAGACGGATGGCAGCATCAGCCGGAGGACACAGCAGGGCTCGTAGGGACAAGGTAAGCGACGCTACAGTGTAATCCTGAGTGTGTGGAACTGAAAATTAACCCCGAGCCACACTCGGGATTACCGCCAGGAAGGTTAAATGTTTTTTTCTCACTAGTGAAGACATTTCCACAAAAAATCCTGGTGGACTCACAAAAAACTATTGACTGTCCCTGCCTTTAATGTTTGCCCCCCACGATTGACTGGCTGAGACCGCATGGCCATTGCCTCTGCACAAGTCACATGATTGGGCACTGGATGGAAGCAGAAGCATAAACTTTTCCTGGTACATTTTTCTAGCTGCAGTTGACTTAATAGCCTTTGGTTCAAGGAGTAGCACACATAGGGGTCTATTCACGAAGCTGCCGAGGGCAGCCGAGTGAATGACCGATCTGAAGTGAAGTGAGCCGAACAATGTTCGGCTATTCACTTCAGGCTGGTACGGCTGATTTCAGCCGTACATCGGCTGAAATCAGCCGTACATCGGCTTGCTTCGTGTGGCTTCGGGTCGGCCGAACATGCTCAGTTTGACTCAGCCGATCCAACATCTGGATCGGCTGAGCCGAACCTCCGGCAGGCTACTCACTGCTGTTCGGGCTATTCTTAAAGATCCCGAACAGCAGTGAGTGAATAGCCGAATGCCGCCGAGCGGCATTCGGCTCGGCTGTTGTGCTCGGTCCCTCAGTAAATAGCAAATGATTGTGCGGAGCTAGCAGTGACAGCTAGCTCCGCCCAATAGTTTCCTATTGTCCGGCTCTGCTGCTGTAAAAAAAAAAAAAAGAAACATTGCTGTGTCTTTTTTTCTTTATTCTGACACGATCGATGTCAGAATAGAAAAAAAAAAAGAAATTTTCCCATTGAAAAGCATTGGGACATTACTATTGGCTATTTCAATTTGCAATAGCCAATAGTAAACTAGCATTGT